CTCCCCCGCCCCGGGGTCCCCGCGCCTCCGGACCGGGCCGACTCCTGCTTGTAGATGTCGATGATGTTCTCCACGAGCAGGTTCCGCTGCAATCCGTACACCCCGTGCCGGTCCAGCACCACCTCGTGCCGGCAGGACGGGCACCGGAACCGCCCGCCCGACGGCACCGCGCTGGAGCCCCGCGACTGCCACAGCGGGTTGGAGGCCTGGGGGGGTACGCGAGGGGTCACGGCGGCGGCAGCCCGCACCCCCGGCAGTCCCGGAACACCGGCACCCCTGGCACCTCCCGCCCCGCGGATCTGCGCCCCACAGCCCCCCGGCACGGACCCGGACACGGCCATGGGCACGGAGATGGAGACCGGCGAGAGCACGGCCACGGATGTGGACACAAAGCAGGACTCGTACACGGCCCCCGATTCCCGTTCACCGTCCCCGCCAGCCGGGAGAGGCACCGAGCGCAGACCACCGGAGTTCCCAGCGGCTGCTCCCGGAGCCGGGATTCCCGGCGCCAGTGCCAGACCAGGCCCCCCTGTGAAGACGATCCCGGTGCTCCTGGTGCCGCCCACCCCTCCGCCTCGCTGGCCGGGGATTCCGGGATAGCGGGGCCACCACCCGCCGGACCGGGGTCCCGGGGAGCGAGGTGCCGGCGCCTCCCCCCGCCCCACCGGCGGCTCCCACCTGGAAGACGTCGTTGGCGCACTTGCGGCAGAGGTTGTGCTGGCAGGGCAGGATGACCACGGGCTTGGAGAACATCTCCAGGCAGATGGGGCAGATGAGCTGCTTCTCCAGGCTCTCCATGCTCCGCGCCTCCGCCAGAAGCGGCTTCAGCCCTACCGCGAAGTTCATGGCCGCGGTCCCGGCCCGTCCCGGCTCTGTCCCGCCGCTCCGCTCCGGCCGCCCGGTGCCCGCTTTGTTTCGGCCCCGGCCCCGGCCCCCGGCGCTAATTTTAGCCGCCCCCGCCCCGCCGGGGCCGCAGCTGTCGGCGGCGTCGGGTGACACTGAGTCACCGCTCCTGCCCACCCCTCGGCACCGGCAGGGCCCGGCACCGGCTGCGTTCCGGGACCGCTGGTGCCCTGCCCGGGAGGAGGAGCGGCCGAGGCTCCGGGGGACCGGGGCTGGCTGGAGCAGGGGCTGCAGGGCTGGCAAGCACGCTGAGGAGAATGTGCCCCGCTCTGCGGGCAGCAGGGCTGCGGGAGGTTGGGGTCCCGCAGATCCCACAGTGCCAGCCCCCCCGAAGAGCAGGGCGGGGGGCTGGTGCCAGGACACCCCCATCCCCACTCGCCCTGGCACCCTGGCTATATTTAGGGAGTGAGGCAGAGCCCATGCAGCTGCGGGCAGCGGCAGTGACCAGAGATGGGAAGAACAAGCAAGCGGCTCCCTGCGTCCCCCTCGGTGCCACCCGGCCAGTGCTGGCTCTCCGCAGGGCCACGGCTCCCCGAGAGCGGGGCAGGAGCGGGGCCGGTGCCGGCAGCGGGGAGCAGGGCTCCGGGACACCAGCAGAAGGAGCAGGAAGAGCAGAGCCTGCAAGAGCCAGCAGCAGGGGCCACACAATGCGACCAGGTGGGTGACAGGAGACAGGTAACATTCCCCCCACTCGACATGACCACTCCACACAGGGCGTGACCTCCTACTCCACACCCCGGTTAGTCCAGCGCCCCGCAGGATCCACGGGAACAGCCCCCAGCATGGGCAACACCAGGCAGAGGCACATCCTGCTGCGAGTGCTCCAGCAGCCCTGGACAGCAGGCACACACACACACACACTCCCCTCCCGTCGGCCTTTAATGGTGCCCACAAAAACCCAGACAAACCCAGAGGGCAGAGGGAAGGGGCACGCACAGGAGCACCCCAGCCCCACAGCAGCGTTTGGCACCCAGCACGCACAGGGAGGGCTGAGGAGGGGCGGGCTCAGCCCAGCCCCGAGGTTACAGTGCTAATGGTCTCGGACTGAGAGCTACAGAGCTCGCCCGGAGCATCTCTGCTCGTGCCTGCTGCTCAGTGCCCCACCGGGCACGGGCAAGGCACTCAAGGGGGCCACGGCAGCACGGGCTCCAGGCCACTGCCACCACCAGTGCTGGGACACTGGGGCATTGCCCTGGAGCTCGAGCAGGGGCCCAGGAGCCTGTGCATTGATGCTGGCCAAATTAACCTGAGATTCTATCCCTCGCGAGGCTGATGAGCCAGCCCGAGGGGCGGGACCGTGGTCCCAGAAAGTGACAGTCCCAAAGGAGGATCCCTGCCCCAGCCATGGGGGAGCCGGGGGACGGGGCCGGCCTCAGGCATCGCTCCTGGTGCTGGCTGGCAGCGGCTCCGCGCTGGCCGGCGGCGGCTGCGCTACAACGGGGCCCTGAGGATCTGGAAAGGAAGAGCTGCAGATCAGTGCCCCAGCCCCACCCTGTGGTGCCAGTGAGCAGCAACCTCACAACACTGCCTCGAGGGCTCCCACAGCCCAAAGCCCCCACAGCCCTGGCCAGTGCAGAGACCCGTGGGAGTGCCCTGACCCCAAGGGAACCTGCAGGAGTCACGCAGCCCCACTGACACCAGTACAGCCAGTGCCAGGGAACACAGCTGGCCCGGAGCACAGCTGCTCTTCCCGTGCTCTGTGCCCCAAAGGGCTCAGGCCCCAGGGTCTCTAAGCTTCAGGCCTGTTCAGGGGGCCTTTGTCCAGTGGGAAGGAGAAGGTGTACCCATGGCCCATGCAGTGGCTCCCTCTGTCACTGTCACCAGCCCTGGCCCCCACAGGAAGCACCAAGGGCTGGCTGGAAGTAAGAGCTAAGAGCTATGGCTAAAACCAACCCATGACCTGAGCCAGAACTCTGTCCCCCACACGAGATGGGACATGGGGACACCCCAGAGCCCCCACAAAGCTAACACAGGTGCTCCCAGCTGCCAGGCTCCCTCCCGCCTGACTTACCGCTGTCCTCTGCACGCATCTGTGCCTCCAGGTCCTTGGGGTCCACGTACTTGTAGGACTCATCCTCCTTGGGTTGGCAGCACGTCCCGCAGCAGAAGAAACAGCAGCAGCAGCAGCAGCAGCAGGTGAGGGCTCCGCAGCACAGCAGCAGTGCCTGTGTCAGGGACAGACGTGCTGTGAGCTCACCTGAGTGCCCGCCCCATCACACCAGCCCCGAGAGCCCGCTCAAACACCAGCCTGCCAGCACGGCAAACCACTGAGCTCACCCGACCCGCCGGCCCCACCTGATGCCGGGCTCACCTGGAACCACCACTTGGACATGAGGAAGTAGTGCCGCACAGCATCGTCGCCGAACTGCTCGGCCACGTAGAGGCCAAGGGAGCCGTACTGGTCGTACAGGCGGCGCTTGTCCGCGTCGCTGAGCGTGGCGTGGGCGCTGTTGATCTCCTTGAAGCGCTCGGCTGCCGCTGGGTCATCGGGGTTCTTGTCTGGGTGGTACTTGAGAGCCAGCTTCCTGTGGGTGCAGCGGGGGGACCCCCGGCACGGGGTCACAGTCCCACCGCCCGGGACAGCCCACACCCCCGCACGGAGCCGGGACCCCGGCACGGGGTCACAGCCCCGCTGCCCGGAACCGGCCCTGGCCGCCGGGACGGCACCAGGACCATCCGGACGAGGTCCCGGCCGCGCTGGCGGGACGGACCCTCACGCCTGGGCGCCCAGGACGACCCGCGGACCCCGCCGGCCCCCCCCGTACCGATAGGCCTTCTTGATCTCCTCGGGGGAGCTGCCCTTCTGCAGCCCCAGCACGCGGTACAGGCTCTCCCCGACCCGGGACAGCTTCCGCTGCGGCCGCGGGGGCTCCGCCATGGCCGCGCCGAGGGTCGCGGGGTCGGACGGGACGCGGCAGCGACCGCCACGGGCCTGCCCCGCCGCCGCTTCCGCCCGCGCCGCCGCCGCTCTGCGCAGGCGCCGCCCGGTGCAGGGCACGGCCCGGCCGGCGACACCCGGTACAGGGCACGGCCCGGCCGACGACACCCGGTACAGGCCAGCGACACCCGGTACAGGGCACAGCCCGGCCGGCGACACCCGGTACAGGGCACGGCCCGGGCAGCGACACCCGGTACGGGGCACGGCCCGGCCCCAGGGACCGCCCGACCCCGGTGCGGCGGCAGCAGGAGGCGGCACACGGGCATCGCGCTGCTCCTTTATTGGTACAAAACGGTGGCGAGGGGTGGGGGGCACGGCCGGGCCCGGGACAGCGCGGGCTGCGGGGACAGACCCCCCGCCCCGGACCCTCCTGCTGCCACCGGGGGCGGGGGCGGGGGGGGGCAAGGCTGCCGCTGCCCTTTGGAAAAAGAACCTGAGCAACAAGGGCAGCACCGGGGACACCTCACCACTCCCCGGGCACCGGCAGCACTCTGCGCACCGGGGATGAGACAGCACCGGGAAGGCAGCCCCATGCCAACCCCCAACTCCTGGGACCGGGGATGGACGACACCCGGTACACCCGGCACAGGGCACGGCCCGGCCGGCGACACCCGGTACGGGGCACGGCCCGGCCCCAGGGACCGCCCGACCCCGGTGCGGCGGCAGCAGGAGGCGGCACACGGGCATCGCGCTGCTCCTTTATTGGTACAAAACGGTGGCGAGGGGTGGGGGGCACGGCCGGGCCCGGGACAGCGCAGACTGCGGGGACAGACCCCCCGCCCCGGACCCTCCTGCTGCCACCGGGGGCGGGGGCGGGGGGGGGCAAGGCTGCCGCTGCCCTTTGGAAAAAGAACCTGAGCAACAAGGGCAGCACCGGGGACACCTCACCACTCCCCGGGCACCGGCAGCACTCTGCGCACCGGGGATGAGACAGCACCGGGAAGGCAGCCCCATGCCAACCCCCAACTCCTGGGACCGGGGATGGAGTGTGGATTGGCAGGGACAGGGTGGATCCATGGGGTCCAGTCCCTGATGTCAGAGGGTCCCACTGGAGCTGGGGGCTGCCCACAATAAATAGAAATAAATACAGTTCCAGGCATGGAGCTAGCCTGGACCCCATCCCCCTCTTCCCCTGGGTAGCAGGTGAGCACCCCCTCAGGCACAGCCGCAGGGAGACCACCACTCCCTCTGGAGGCACGGCTGGCCCAGGCCCAGAGGCAGGGCTCTGGGAGCAAGGAATGTCCCTAAATATCCCCTCTCCGTGGTCCGCAGGAGAGGCCATCCCTCTCTTCTCCTCCTCCCTGGGGAGGATTGGTCCTTGGGGCAGAGGGAGACCAGGAGACCAGCAGCAGCAGCAGAGCCCAGCGCAGGTCCGGAGAGCCAGGGGCTGGCAGGTGGGCACAGCTGGCAGCTCAGGGCCTCTCCCGGGGGCAGGGATGGGGCCAGCCCTGCAGCCAGCCTAGCCCGTGGTCCTGAGGCCAGCCAGCTCAGCAGTCCATGCTGTCGCTCTCACACCAGGCCGAGGGGCCATCGGTGCCGAAGTATCTGTCTCCAAAGTTACCTGGCAGAGAAAGGGACAAAGTGAAGGGGCAGCAGCACCAGCCCCACCACAGTCCTGGCAAGGCTCGCTGGCCCCAGCCACGAGGTGCAGCACACCCTGGTCCCCCTCACCGATGCCCGGGATGATGTGGAACTCCTCGTTGACCCGCTTGTCCACGGCTGTGGTGATGATGTGGACGCGGGGAAAGGCGTAGGCCACGGAGTGCACCCCCATCTCCGCCATCAGCAGTGACAGCAGGAAGATCCTGTCCTCCTGCACGTCGTGGTCCTGCGGCACAGGGAGATGTGAGAGCCCAGCTGGGCCCCGAGGACGCCCTGCCCCACCCGCGGCCCGGCGCTCACCAGCAGCACGCGCACAGCCATCATGGCCGCGGCCCCCGTGGACACCGTGCTGTCCATCAGGATGACGTAGTCCTCGCTGATCTCCTTGGGCAGGCGCAGGTAGTGCAGCTGGGGAGGGAAGGAAGGGGTTGGTGAGGTGCCAGCGGGGCACGGCTGTGTGCCAGGCTGCAGCAGGACTCACCTCAGGCTCCCCTGTGTCCAGGTTGGTCTGGATGAGGATCTTGCCCAGGCGGATGTCCTTGCAGACAGCGGTCAGGGCCTGCTCCATGGTCTCACCTGCCCGCAGGATGGACACGCCGGTGATCTGGGAAAGGGGCAGGACACGTGCTGGGTGCTCCTAGTGCATGCTGAGCCAGGAGCCGTGCTCTCACGGGGAGCAGGGGTCGTGTCTCACCCGCTGCCTGTGGAACCGCTTCCCCTCGTACATGGTGCCCTGCGGCGTCTCCACCGTGACCGACTGCAGAAAGGGGAGCACAGAGTGGGCCAGACCCCTGGGACTGGGGGCACCCAGGAGGGGAGATGGGGTGGGGCTGTGGCTACACCCAGGAGTGGGCACTCACCTTCAGGGGCAGGAAGGACAAGGCATGTTCAATCAGCAGCCGCATCAGGCGCTTGGAGTAGAAGATAAATTCGTCCCTGGTCGTGTCCTTGTTCCTGGGAGGGATGACACAGTTGAGGTAGGAACAGAGCCCCTGCCGTCCCTGCAGACCACACGTGGGGCTCCAGGGGCCAACCAGCATGGACAGCAGCCCCAGTCTGTGGGAACCAGAGCACTCTTGGAGTGACACAGTCAGTGATCTCCAGCACTGCGGTGCTCACTGAGACCTCAGCTTCTTAGACAGGACTACAGAAGCAAGAGAGTGGCTTGGCTACCCTGGGAGGGAGGTGCAACACCACTTACAGACATCAGAGAGAGCTGGGAGAATGGGGAGTAGGAACAGGTCAGGCAGGACCATCAGCCATGGGGCAGCACAAACTCAGGAGCAGTGGGTGAGTGTTGGGAGCCCCAGGCAGAACAGGAGCAGAGCCAGGACAGGCTAGGACCCCGCTGTGGAAGGAGACAGTGCACCATGGCTGGGCATGCTGGGTGACAGGAAAGAGTTGAACATGTCCCCAGCTCCCCCCTCTATGTCCCAAGTCAGGGATAAAGCACTGCTAAGAACCAGGTGACTCTGAAATACCCACCATGCCCTTTTCACAGCTCTGATGTACTCAAGGCACTGAGATGTACAACAAACACAAACCAGAACAAAGCTGCCATGGAGCTGCAATTCCCAGAAAGCCTCTCCCATCCCCCAGAGGGGGAAAAGCCAGCCCTGCATGCAGGGCACTAACCCCACAGCAGAGGGAAAGTAGACAACTTTTCCTACTGGGAATAACCTGGCCACCAGCCTTGTGGGGAACATGAAGACAAAGAAGTCCCACAGACACCTGCCCGTTCCCAGATGGAAGAAGCCGAGCTGGCAACACTCCTGAAGAGGCAGAATGATATTGAATATTTTTACTCCGTATTTTAAGACATCATCTGGCATTTCTTACACCTCGGTGGATGACAGACACCCCCACTGAGGCGCTCGGAGGAGGACGAGCAGTCACTGCTGTCCTCGTGTGCTCCTGCAGCCATTCCAGGGTCACTCACAGCTGACATCTGCAGTGACCACGGCATACAGACATCCCCAAACCCCTGGGCACAGCCAGCACCCCCAGGGAAGGCAAAAAAACCAGTTCTGGTCTGGAAGACCCTGTCTACAGCTCCCAGAGTGAGCTGTCAGCAAGCACTCACAGGTGGGCTGCACCCACACATCCACCCACAGCAGCCTGGCAGCAGCACGAGCCATCAGCCTCCCTGCCTCCCCTGCAGCCTGTCCTGTCCCAGCCAGCTGCCCCCACTGAGACCCACCAGGCTGTGCTGGCCCCCGGCTGCGTGGGACAGGCCCCACACTGCTCCCACAGAGGCAGGTTCCTCTGGGGATGGGGAACCCCTGGGGAACCCCAGTGCAGACACAACCATGAAGCTTCTCCCTGCCCAGGGCACCAGCAGGGCAGGGGCAAGGGCTGTGCCAGCACATGCTGGGCAGCAGCAGCTTACCAGGATCCATCAGTGCCACCATCCCACCCCCTCAGCTGGCAGAGCACGATGGGGGGACATCACTGTCCCCACTGCAGGTCCCTCACCCCACAGCATCACTGCCTGGGTGAAGCCTGAGGAAACACACCGCTGCTATCCACAGAGGAGGCAGGTGAACCTCAGCACACTGCAGCACACTGGGAGCCTGCAGCTGGTGCTCCTGACAAGCTCAGCCTTCCCTAGCATGCTCAGGAGATGACAGAGGGACCAGGAGCATCTGCCTGGGCCTGATCACAGCACCAGCTCTGTGCATGAACTGGACTGTCTGCAGCTGAGAGGCAGCTGGTACAGCCAGGCACCTGTACCTGGGCATGAATGGGTTACAGAATGCCAGAATGGTTTGTGTTGGGAGGGACCTTAGAGGTCACCTTGTCCCATGGCCCTGCCATGGGCAGTCACACCTTCTATTACACCAGGTTCCCCCAAACCCTGTCCAGCCTGCCCTTGGGGCAACCAGCTATCCTGGGCAACCTGAGCAGAGCCTCACCACCCTCAGGGAAGTACTCCTGCCCAGTATCTCATGCAACATGCCCTCTGGCAATGGGTACCAGTCCTGCTCATCCTGACACTGCATCCTTCACACTCCATCTATTCTCAGCCTCATGACTCAAACTGCAGCTATTCCAGTGTGGGACTCATTTTCAGTTTCTGTCTCTCCACAAGAGCAGAAAATTGCTCTAGAAAGTGCTTCCCCCAGCTGCCAGCCTGATCTGCCACGCTGATGCTCATGTGCTGCCAGCAACACCCTCCCAGCAGACAGACGGGGGAGCCTGAGGAGTGGAGCCACCGGGAATGGTGCTGGCTAGCACGCAGGACTGACATCCCAGAGAGCTGCTCTGGGAAGCACCAGACAGGACCAGGAGGGAGCAGAATGTGCCCCACAGCTCTGCAGTGGTGCTGCTGGGCTGGACACGTCCAGGCACCCAGAAAGGCTGTGCTGTGGGAGCACTGCAGAGCTGCAGCCTGGCGCAGGGGAAGGGTCCCTGCTGATGCCAGGGGTTGAGCTA